TCTGGACGTATACACTACTCTTCAGAGGTGTGTGTGTCTCCACCATTTTGCTCGTGTTTTTCCTTTTAAATCCAACCTGGGGCTTGTACCACAAAGCGAGGTAACTACCTTATCCAGGTAACTTCAGGAGAAACTTCAGGAGTAACTCTGGGAAGTCGGCTTAACTGACTTGAATGAAAAACATCAAGAATAATTCTACCAGGGAGAACCTTGGTTGTGCGTGTGTCTATAAGTGACACTGTATGTGTGAGTGCGTGTGTCTGTATGTGTGTGTATATGTTTGTTACAGAATGTAGTTCATGGTGTGAGTGGGATGCCACAACCGCGCCACACTGACTTCAGCGACAGGCAGGTAAGACCCCCACGATTCCATCAGTTCTAAATTCATTATCAAGTCACAAAGTAACGGAGGACTCCTATGCTAATTTCAGTCCCTCCCAAATCGATCATCTTGTTGCGAATGACACTGGAATCTGTAGCCCCTCTAAAAAAGAAAATACTAAAACAAAGACGGTTAGCTCCGTGGTATAATACTGAAACTCGCAAATTAAACTTGAGAGGAATTGGCGTTCCATCAAACTGGAAAATTCTCGTCTAATTTGGCAAGATAGTCTTAAAACTTATAGGAAGGTCCTCCGTAATGCCAGAGCAGCGTACTACTCGTCATTAATAGAGGAAAATAGGAACAACCCCAGGTTTCTTTTCAGCACTGTAGCCAAGCTGACAGAGAGTCACAGCTCTATTGAGCCAAGTATTCCCATAGCTCTCAGTAGTTACGACTTCATGAGCTTCTTTAAGATCTGCGTTAATAAGTGATATTGGGCGATAACTGGACGGGAGTGTGGGATCTTTATTTGGTTTAAAGAGCAGGCTGATATTAGCAGAGTTCATTGTTGGAGACAACATGCAAGTACCCCTAATTTGCATTAATAACCTATAGAATGTGGGCGCAAGTATTTCCCAGAATTCCTTTTTGAATTCAGCTGGAAAACCGTCTGGCCCAGGGGCTTTATTATTTGGCATATGTAAGAGAGCTTCCTGGAGTTCAGCCATTGAAACAGGTGAATCCAGAGCCCTGATCTGTTCATCATCTAACTTTGGCGAATCTACATTGTTCAGAAATGCATCGATGTTAGAGTTAGATGGATCAATTTGTGATGTATATAGGTTTTTATAAAAATCTGTGAATGCATTGTTGATTTCTTCAGGGTTATGAGTCATATTCCCAGCTGAGTCCTTTAAGGAGGATTTATTGCCATGTTCAAAGTTCTCCAAACGTAGTCTTTGCAACTGAAACTGGGTCTTTTTATCAATAACTTCTTTTAATTGAAGTTTTAATTTTCTCAGATCATTCAGCATGTGTTCCTGTGGGGAGGCAGCAAGGGCAGTTTTTATTTTTTGTTCTAGCTCTAATTCACAAGATCTCTCTTTCTTTTTTTTTGTGTGATGAATAGGAGATTATTTTACCTCTCATGACTGCTTTTGCTGCCTGGCAGATCATTAGTTCCTCATATTTATTGCCCTATCCTTTTTTAAATAACTTATAAAATCTAGATCTTCAAGCAATGATTAAGTCTCCAACTTCTAGTTGGCCGTGTTACCCTTTTTTTAGTAAGAGTGATAGAAACCGGTGCATGTCCACTGATAGTGATAGGGTGAATCTGAGTGTTGGAAATGTCTGTCATAATTGAGCTGCTAACCAAAAAATAGTCAAGGCGAGAATATGAGTGGTGGACTGGTGAAAAGAAGATATATTCTCTCCTATTATAAGAGCTGTGTCTGAGTGAGCAGAGAGTGAGTTGAAGAAAGCAATATTAAATGAGGGGTCGTCAACATTCGGGCCACAGATATTAGCGATACATAAATGGGTATTTTGAATAGAAATGTTAACAATAAAAAATCGACCCTCTGGATTTATAGTAGAGGTATTATGATTGAAGTGTGTTTTTCTATTTATTTATTTATTTCTATCTATCATAATGGTGATACCTCTCGCTGAGTATGAGTGAGGAAACTGTGGTGAGGTTAGTTTATCTGCTTTCTTGGAATCTCCTATAGTAGGACAATGTCTGCTTGCAGATTATTTAGATGGTTAAAATTCCCTTGAACTACCCTCCATTCCAAGAGATGAACTGGTCATCATTCAACTAAGGGATGTAGTGTAGGCTAGAGTGTGCAGTATCATTGTGTGTGGTGGGTGTATTGTATGCGCCTGTATGTGTGTGTGTCTATGTGTGTACTAGCGGTGTGCCCGACTGTTTATGAATTAAACAGTATGAAAATAGCGCAGCTGATCAATGTGTAAACAGCAGCAAAAGAGCAACATTAACAAAAGAAAGAAACAGTGAAACAAAAACAGAGGAAAATACACAAAACATTATCGACAGTCTAGTCAGAGAACCACAGTATACTGTTGAAACGTGCACTGTATTTTATAACTATTAACCTGTCGTATGTCACGGAGTAATTCACTGAGAAGGAAAGAGGGAAAAAATGATCGCATAGTGATACAGTTCACCTGTTGCTGGATTTGGTTCTTAGTAGAGCCAAGGAGTGGTGTCTCGGTTGCAGTACAGCTGGCCATCAACGTAAAGTTTAACCACCGCGATGACAGCCCATGATCCATCTCCAATAAGCTTCTTATCGTCAACAGGACTTGGCGTCGGTCCAGGATCTCCCGGGGAAATGGGTCGTTCACGAGACCAAGTGGATGGGTTTTACCTGAGGTCTGCTGCCATGGCAATTTACACTCTATAAACTGCTCTGGGCAAGTTATCTTCGTGGTTACCTTAAAGTTACCCTACCCTGTATATGTGGACTACACACCACATCTGCAAGCCTAAAACACACCACTTGATAAAATTTTTGGATTTCATTCAGTTTCTGAAATCTAGCCCATTTGTACATGCTAACTTAATTATACTTTTTTAGATTGACTATATAATGTGGCACAAAATACCTAGCCAGGGCTTAATAATCCAAGAAAAAAAAATCCTTGATGAAGTGGTAAATTTACAAGAACCAAAGGTGGAAATTCCCTTAAAGTCACAAAAAATCCAAATCACCTTGGTGTTTTCATTTGAATATGCCCATTTCACAAAGTCTCTAAAGTCCCATTGCATATGATAATATGGTGACTGCAGGCTAAAGTCACGAGAATTCCCTCACTGCTAACAACACTTTTACAAAGCTTGAGACAAAGTTACATTTTGGAAAACATTTTTACCCTACCATAAAACACAATTACATGGGCGAAACACTTTTACCAAGGGCAAAACATTTTTACCAAGGACAAAACAAATTTACATTTTAGAAAACAAATTAGCAAGACGCAAAACACTTTTACCCGTCCCGAAACAAATTTACAAACGATCGATCCCTCACGGAAAGGGAATGTACCACATACCGGAAGTGACGAGTGAACGCGGGTGATAGGTGTTGTTGGTGAGCGCGGTTAATTCGTGTTTTCAATGTGGAGAATATGGCGTGAATATGAAGCATATAGGAATTTAAGTTTTTGGTGACGGAACATGGACTGCGACCGAGGGATGTTTTGCCTGTTTTGTGGTAAACACATGAGCAGCTTAACGCGGTTTTGCTTTACATGTGGTCGGTGTTTGGAGTTTTTAAAGGACGCGAACCAGACGGAAACACCAGACATACTGCATCATTGCGTTCAGTATTTTAACGAGGGCCACTCGTACGCTGTAATCGTGGACATGGTGTCAAGTCTACACGGTGTAAACATCAGCTTGAGGACTCTTAAAAGTAAACTGAACGAAGCCGGGATGTACCGCAGAAAGGATTATTCCTCTCCAAACGCCGTGAGTAACGCCATCAGATCTGAACTTCGTGGACCTGGACAACTATTTGGCTACCGCACGATGTGGCAGGTACTTAAACAAAAGTACAATCTTCGAGTGAAGAGAGATGATGTGATGAATTTCCTCCGGGAGCTCAATCCCCGAGGGTGTGAGAGCAGAGTACGCAGAAGGTTTACAAGAAGAACCTATCACTCAATGGGACCTAACTATATGTGGCACGCAGATGGTTACGACAAACTTAAGCCATTCGGTTTGGCCATTTCGGGATGCATAGATGGATTTTCACGTAAAGTATTGTGGCTTGAATGTGGACCAACAAATAATAACCCAACAGTGATTGCTCAATATTTCATGTCATGTGTGCGAAACCTCGGTGTCATCCCCATTCTGGAAGGAGTTATTTGCAGACCTTAGAGATGCTGGATACTTCAACGGGAGTCATGAGCATCAGTGCCTATTGAGATATTGCTTTGGTGATGTTATTCAGAAGGACTTGGATGAGTGTGTGAGACTGTGGAACAGTCACAGGATTCGCCCTTCCAGAACAGCAGCATGTCCAGGAGGAATGCCCAATGAACTCTACTACTTACCACACAGGTAATAAACAGATCATAGTATTAATATAATGTTTTAACTTAGATGAAAAGAACTGCAATTATGTTCTCTATTTAACATAGGTTTGGCTCCAGAGACTGCGGATTTCAAGTGGAACAGGCTGAACTGGATGCCCTTCCTGAGGCCAGCCTGTCAATGACTCCTTGTGGGGACCCAAACATGCAGGAATACTTGAACTTTGCCATGGAACACAATCAGATACAGAAGCCGGAGAACTGGGAGTCTGCATCAGAACTGTATATGAAACTAAAAGAAATGGCTCAGCTATGAAATGATCAAAAAGGTTTTTTTTGAAGAGGTGAAACACTGCTGCCTGTCTGAACACAATATTTATGAATCTGTCACTCAAAGCTTAATTGTTTTTAAGTGTGAAGTAAATTAATCAAATGAGTCAAAAATAGTAATGAGCATTTATTACACTTTGTAGTATAGAAAAGAAAATTTCTTGTTTCTTTATCTAAAACAAGTGATTCACAAAGGGATCCCAGTTTAAGAGTCATGGATCTAAAACATTTTCATAATGTACAAATGTACACGTAGGCTCACGCTGGTCATGCGTGTGACGTACAACAGAAGCGCTGCGCTGTTACACTACGCAAACTCACTCGAGGCCCACAGCGAAGGAAATTAATAGTTGAATGAAGTCGTTATTTTGTTTGTTTTTGCGCACAAAAAGTATTCTCGTAGCTTGATAAACTTAAGATTGAGTCACTGTAGTCACTCAGACTATTTTAATTATATGTTTAATGACTTTTCTGGGCCAGCAAGTTTCGATCCCTTAGAAGCCTATGGAGGAGTGATCCAGCTCTCAGATTTAATCAAAAATATCTTAGTTTGTGTTACGAAGATGAACGAAATTCTTATGGATTTGGAACAACATGAGGGAGAGTAATTACTGACAGCATTTTCATTTTGGGGTGAACTATCCCTTTAAAGAACACCTTAAACAACAACTGTTTCAGAGTCTTAACTCTAGGGGTCATCCATCGTATAGCTTAGAAACAGCCAAATCCTGGACTATTTTGAATTCCAAAGTCCATTTGTGACTGAGCCAGATGGGGGAAGTGAGGACAGCCCAGTAGCAAACATCAAAACATCTTCCACAGACACAGCAGCCTGGTCTTCTGCAAAGAAAAAAAAAATTCAGATACATCATTGCCATGTGTTTTCTTAACTAGTTATACAAAACAAATGAACTAACAAACCTTCACAATCAAGGAGATAGTCTGTCCAGTAGGCCATGGTTTGACTTTCTTTAAGTCTTCGATTACTCCCCAAAGGACTGAGGTCAGTTTTGAAGAGTCTCTCAAGTTCAGAAGCAGTGATTCGACTTTCAGAGTGGTACAGGACAGGGGCCAGCAAAGTAGGGTGTTGCTGTAGTGCATTCAAAAACTCCAGGGTTGAAAGACCATCTCGGAATCTACAGATTGAACAAAAACATTTCACTGCTGTGTAGTGCCAATTGAATTTAAATTATCTAAAGAAAACTATTAAATATTCTCTTCTCTACAATTAATATCCACCTTAAACATACATTTGGGGGGAAAAATTATGTTGAAAATTGATTTAAGAAACCCTATTTTTGCATTGCACATTAAATGTTAATTGTTACAAACTAAGTATAACACAGAAACAAAAGACTGGAATGACACAGACAGTTGGGTGGCTTGAGCACTCATACGATGCCTTCAGAAAGTCTACACACCCCTTGCACATTTTCAAAACTTTGTCACATTATATAATCAATTTCAAATAGTAATATCAATCTTTTTTCTCCTCACTCTACACACACAATACATCATCACGACAAAGCAAAAACAGGTTTTTAGAAATTCTAGCAAATTTCATAAAAATTAAAAACTTAAATATCACATTCACACAAGTTAATGAACCATTTTCTCAGTACGCTGTTTAACCCTTAAACAGGCAAGAGTGGAAAATGCTGAGCAAAAAATAATTTCTAGTAATTTTTATATCATCTGGACTTAAATAAAACATATCCAAAAGAATTAAAAAAAAATTAGATATATTTTTGGATTTTATGAGTTGACTCCTGAGTCACTTTGCCTGATTAGGGTATAAAAAGGACCAAGTCATTAATCTGTTGACTGTTACTGCATGTTTACACCAGATCTAATGTTGACAAATGATATATCATTCGAAAGCTTACGAACTCGAGACAGCCTGTGAAACCCATTTTGAAATTGGACGTTGCGTAACTATAGAAACGGTACTCTAAATTCTTTTAATGGGCTCCTCCCCTTTTGGGCATCGTCATGTTTCATAATTTATGATCAAAACCTTTTTTTATCTTGACAAAACACATTGTCAGAAAGGTCTAAGTCTCAAGGTTACATATTTTGTGACAGAAGTGATATTTGGACATAAGTTTATTAATTTGTTATGGCAGAGTGCTTACAATTATTCACCCGGTGGCTATTTTTGGTGTTATGCCTAAACAAAATCTCATGGGAACTTAAATTTTTGTGATATCAACTTCAAATTTGGAACACAACTTTGTTATATATATGGCTTTGATTTTATTGTAATAAATATTTTTTAAAATACATATTCTATAAAAAATGAAAAAAAAATAGTATATTTCATTTAATGTAAGTTTAAACTTCCATACATTTTCATACTTTCACTGTTTTCGTTAAAACAAGACCAAACTTAGGTCTATATTCCATAGCATTGTTGAATTACAATCATTAATAGTGCATTTTAAATAGAGCTAGAGTAATTCCTTTTTTATACCCTAAACAGGCAACGTGACTCAGGAGTCACATACATTTCAAAACATCAACAACAACTAAATAACAACATGAACAACATATTACTAATTTTCTCCTTCAGCACCTTAATACAATGTTTACAATTAATGTCAGCATTATTTTAAAAAATTTCCCCAGGAGACAAGTTAGTTTAATATATATTTACTATTTCTAAAATTTGATTGTTCTGCACCACTGGCAGCCATGTTTTATTTAGGTCAGGCTGACTAATTGATCACAAAAAATTTGAAGCAAATCATGTGACCAGCATACTCAAGACAGACCAGGCTGTCATAAGTGATAAGGATTTGATGAAAAAAATCATTCTTATGCCCCAAAAAAAGACAATAAAAACAATGTGACTCGTGAGTCACGTTGCCTGTTTTAGGGTTAAGCACCTTTGGAAGTAATTCCTGCCTGGATTCCTCGTGTATGAAGCTACAGCTTTACACACCCATCAACATCACCACACTCTTTATATCTGATTTTCAGGGACACACACAAGAGATACTAAAACATCTCTGCATGTCATGATCTCTATGAGAACTGGGGTCAGAAATAGATTCAGATCACTCTAATGAGTAACTGGACTGATTTTCCTCTATGGAAGAATTAGTCAGGAGGAGAATCCTGAGATCTAATTTCTGTTTTTGCTTTGTCATTATGATGTATTGTGTGTAGATTGATGAGGAAAAGATTAATATATATTTTAAATTACATCTATAAGGTGAGAAGACTTAATGAAGGCACTGTAGTTTGACAGAATGAAGGAACATCACATATCAGTTGAAATACACTAAGGTACAAATTCTGTCACAGTGACAAATTGATAACAGATATACATGCCTGCATAAACCAAAGATGGGGACCATGAGGCATTTCAAACTAGAAAATTTGTATATAAATACATAAAAAAAAGAAGAAAATCATCACCACAAATATCATCTTACCTTTTAATTACAGATGAGTTGCGGTCAATAATATACCATTGGAGGTAGTCTGACACGATTTCTTTCTTTTCTTCCACAGTAGCCACATGTCTCAGACAACCTGCTGTCTGTAACATTGTGCTGTGTCTCATCATACATTCTTGCAGAGCATCCAATGAAGCAGCATTCTCAATCTGAAAGACATGACAATGGGCATAAACACCCCTGTCAATAACTGTGTGCACTGTATCTCCTTGCTTATTTTTTAATGACATACATAGCATGGTGTAATCTTACACTATTAAAAACTAATAAATTAATTAATTAAATTCTGCACGCGATATAGGAAGTAAACATTGTCTCAAAACACTGCAGGAACTATGTAAAATTCTGCCCTACCATACCCTAGCCTTATGCTACTCTCACCTCTTGCAAAGCTTTCCCTATTTCTTCATCAGTTATTAAGTTATTTGTTGCTTTGAATGAAGGCTGGCCTGCAAGATAATGTACAAGATCTTCCGACAGGAAATGGGGCCCTGGACCTCCATGCACAACTGACACAGCAATCATCTTTCCTGCCAGGTAGTATTCATCCTCCCTAACAGCTGTGAATGAATTCATATTGCAAAATAAAACAAACAATGCATTACTGTAATATACAAGCATATGTCATGTGATATATATATATATGGTCAATGAGCATTAACCAACCATTAGTAGCCTATAGTACACATCTAACCAATATGCATACCATTTGCATTGTAGACCAAGAACCGATGTCCTTCTGGTCCATCAAAAATGGGCCGGTCTTTTAGGTGTTTCATCAGTAGAGTCAAAAACTCTCGTCTTGGACCACCAGTGTCAATTCCCTCTTCCAGAACACCAGTATCATCAGTAAATTTCACCAGCATGTCACAGGTTTCAGAATAGGTTGTACGCTTGAAACCTCTGACTGCCCCATCCCAAAAGTTAGCCCTTGAGATGTTGAACCGGCTGACTTTTTTGTGATTAATAGGAAGTGACAGGTTTGCCACGATGTCAGGTAATGTAATGCCCGTCTCCTCCCTGTAATGACAAAAAGTGACTTAATTTGTGGATATACCAGAACTATTGTACAGTGAAAAAACTGGAGTGCTATAGTCAAAAGCTGTCATATTACATTGCTGTGTGTTGAAAATTCGTCACATTGACAGCAACCGGCTCTTCGTCTTCTTGCTCAACATTTGGTGAAAACAGGTCTGTGTATTTACTGTTGGGAAATTACCATTTCTATGTTAAAACACCTTACAAACAAAAATGTCTTCCCCATGTAATCAGTTAAATAAATTTAAATCATGTCTTTATCTTCTTTTTTTTTTACTTACCTGTAGCAAGACGGTTTTTCTGGATTTGTTTCAGGTGGATCCAGATCCTCAGCATCAGATATTACTATCTGAAAAACAGATTAAAATGTCTTAAACAACAACACTGAAAGCAAGAAATGTCATGCTGCCACAGTCTGCCTTATTACCTGTCCTGGCTGAATTGTTGATGATTGTCCTGGTGCATCTCTGAAACATGATAAAACATATTACAATGATTAGCTCCATGATAAAAGCTATAAGGCAGTTTTGAGTAACATGTAGTAGTAGAGGGAGGGAACAAAAAGATTTATACAAAAAAAAAAAACATTATTTCGTTATAAATCGCATTCATATGGCGTTTTCTGTTTCAAGTTCATCCGAGCTAATTCTCTGATCACATCAACAACTTAAATAATTTAAGATAAATTATTTCTTAAGAACATGTGGATAGGAGCACTTCCTGAACTCAAATCTGAGTTTGTTTGAGTTTCTTTTTGAATGGAAAAGGTATAAAATAAGAGAAAGCTCAAACTACTATTTTTAACTATTACAGTACTTGTATTGCAAGTTTCAGAGTTCTTCAGAGTTTCAGAGTCCAGTTTGTTGTGGATGACTGTGCCACTTCAATAAAGGCCTATAGTACCTTTGTAGAAACAAAAATGATGTGGCACAGTGGATACCCCCCACTTCATTCTCATGTGTTTTTTTAATGGTTTGGTTAATTTGTGTCATTTGTGTTTATTCACCTGCAAGAGCAACTGTATTTCAGTAGGTTTATTCTGTGATGTTAAAAGTAAAGCTCACACAGGCAGCTGTGGGTACTCTAGGTATGCAGCGAGGGGGCACCTCAGTCAGTTACAGAAACGGCTGATAGCATGTAGCAACGTTGAGCTTATGTGCAGAAATATAAATGTATGTATAATGTGTCTGTGAATAAGTAGTGAAATATCTCCTAGTAGTTTTAGCAGTTTTGTGAATTAAATGAATTGATTTTGATAATGCACCTGGTAGTGAAAGCACTGTAGCCCAATAAAATATGAATTATTATTATCATTTCCAGTCAAGAAGTAAATAAATAATTTCAACCCATGCAAGCCTGAAAGTTCCTTTGTGTCCAAGTGTGCAACACCTACCTTTCATCTTCCAGTTTGTATTTGGGAGTACTTCGATTTTGTGGTTCAAAAACCTGAGAGGAAACGGATAAAATGATCAACAACTTTCAACAGCTTACATCATTTTTTTACATTACGACACAGTATATCAATGCTGAATGGTTGTCTGTGTTACTGTTTAATAGTAACGGCAAAATAATCAAAACAAGCCTTTTTCACTAAAATATTGATCAGGATATTGATGTTATGCTTAAAATCCAATAAATCTAATAAATTATATGAAAATGAATAAATACAAACATACATAATTGGTTTAAAAAAGAACTAACAGATGTACCAAAGTGTCAGCTCGATTGAATTCAGCTCTGCTCCTTGTTGTGATGACAATTTCAGAATCAGAATCTGAGGTATCGTACTCTGAAAAAATTAAATCAAACAACCATTATTTATCCTTCAGCAGAGTATTTGAATATTTAAAAATATTGAATTATGGGATCCACTAACCTCTTTTAAAGTGCTTTTCTAGGCAAATGAAAAAAGTAATCCTGGAATATGCCTTTCCTATTTCCTTTTTATACTCTGCCAATTTAAATGGTCTTTCTGACCCAGGCACATGGACCACCTCTGAGCAGTCTGGATACAAAAGGACATAAGGTCCTTCGTGCATGTCCTTGTTAAATGTTCTCATTTTCTGGACAGCTTGTTTCAGTAGATCAGGTGCTGCTATCTCTGGGTCTGTAAATAACGGGAGTGTTTTCCCTCTTAGAGGTTTTAAATCAGTTCCATGTGGCCCCATCAATCCTACGTTTATCTAGTAATATAACAAAGATATAATTCATGTATAGGTAAAATCCACACACACACAAATTGTTTAATTTTTTTTGGCCAGGGTTGAAATCTGATGTAGCCCGATTTTGCCGCAGTTGCCATGTATGTCAAATCGCAGGTAAGCCAGGTAATTCCCCCCGCACCTCTGTGTCCAATCCCAGTGATTGATGACCCATTCGACCGAGTCCTAATTGACTGTGTAGGACCCTTACCTCGCACTAGGAGTGGTAACCAGTATTTGTTGACAGTGATGTGCGCTGCGACACGGTTCCCTGAAGCCCTCCCCCTGCGCACTATTACAGCCCGTGTTATCGTTAAAGCGCTGACTAAGTTCTTTGCTACCTTCGGGATGCCCCGCATCATTCAGTCCGACAGAGGGACCAATTTCCAAGCTAACCTTTTCAAACAGGTGCTTAAAACACTGAATGTGCGCCATGTGGTCTCATCAGCGTATCACCCCGAGTTACAAGGAGCTTTAGAACGGTGGCATCAGACGTTAAAGTCGATGCTCCGTAAATATTGTGAGGAGAATGGGACTGATTGGGATGAGGTAGTCCCCTTTGTGCTGTTTGCTGCTCGTGATGCGGTGCAAGAATCATTAGGGTTTAGTCCAGCACAGCTCGTGTTCGCACACACACCCCGCGAGCCACTAAAAGTGCTGCATGATCAGTTCCTGTCTCGTGAGTGTGTGTGCCCCCGCAATGTATTAGACTACGTTAGTCAGTTCAGAGAAAGCTTGCATCAAGCTAATGCCACCGCCAAGCAGTTTCTCTCTGCGTCACAGGCAGTGATGAAAGTCCGCTACGATCATTCTACGGTGTCCCAACGTTTTCATGTAGGCGATAAGGTATTAACACTACTACCCGTTACAGGTTCGTCCCTTTCCGCTAGGTTTTCTGGACCTTATGAAGTCCGTGAGTGTCTAAGTGACACGGATTATGTGATTAGCACTCCCGAGAGGAGGAAGGAAACCCGGGTCTGTTATATAAATATGATGAAGCTATACCACGCTAGAGACAGAGATACAGTTCCGGTTAAATGAAATGGGTCCACTTCGTCAACCGCTACGCCCGGCCCCGCTGTTGCTGCAGTAATTGTTACAGTGCCTGCATCCATGCCCGATCCTTATGACCTGCGGCCGCGTCATCCAGAGCATCCGGCTCCTCAACACCGAAGCCTTGCAAACTCTGCCGAGCCAGTTACAGCACTTGCCTGCTGCAGCCCAACAGGACGTAATGCAGCTAGTTGACCAGTTCTTGTGTCTATTTAGTGACATCCCGACCAGAACTCATGTTATTGAGCATGATGTTGAGCTGACAGACCCCCGGCCCATAAAAGTTCACCTGTACCGTGCTAACCAAAACAAGCGTGAGTTAATGAAGGGAGAAGTCCAGTACCTCCTCTAACACGGTTTAGCTTTACCCAGCTCAAGCCCATGGAGCTCCCCTTGTTTAGTTGAAGCGAAGTCTGATGGTTCACCACGTTTTATCACAGATTTCAGGAAGGTTAACTCTGTCACAGTGCGCGACTCATACCCGTTGCCCCGCATGGAGGACTTTGTCTACAATTTGGGAAATGCCTGTGTTGTCAGTAAATTGGACCTGTTAAAAGGCTACTGGCAAGTCCCGTTGACCGAGCGTGCCTCCAATGTTTCTGCGTTCGTTACTCCTGTTCACTTCCTGCAGTATACCGTCATGCCCTTTGGTATGTGCAATGCACCCACCACGTTCCAACGTTTGGTAAACACTGTGTTGGCTGGTGTCAGTAACTGTAGTGCGTACTTGGACGACCTAGTACTCTACACCGACACTTGGGAGGAGCACCTGCTTCTCCTTACACAGGTTTTTGACCATCTTGCCCAGGCCAATCTCACCCTGAATCTAGCCAAATGTGAGTTTGGTAAAGCCACCGTCACATACTTAGGAAAACAGGTCGGACAGGGACAGGTTCGCCCTGTCAAGGCTAAGGTTGCTGCGGTGAGTGCCTGTCCTGTCCCGGCTTCGCGTAAGGCACTTCGCTCTTTTCTAGGTATGGCCGGTTATTACAGAGGTTTCTGTAGGAACTTTTCTAGTGCAGCCGTTAACTCAGCTGCTTAGCCCCAAGGTTGATTTTGTGTGGACCCCAGAGTGTCAGATGGCGTTTGACAGCGCCAAGGCGTTACTTGGCTAAGCCGTTTAAGCTAGAGGTGGATGCCAGTGCAGTGGGGGCTGGCGCTGTCCTGCTCCAGAGTGGTACTGTCAGAGTGGACCGTCCGGTGTGATTACTCCAAGAAGTTTAACAAACATCAACTCCATTATTCTACCATTGAGAAGGAGACTCTTGCTTTGTTGTTGGCCTTGCAACACTTTGAGGTGTACGTTGGGTCTAGTTCTCTGCCAGTAGTAGTTTACACGGATCATAACCCACTTGTGTTCCTTTCCCGCATGTACAATCAGAACCAACGGCTTATGCGCTGGGCTCTGATTGTATAGGATTACAACCTTGAGATACGCCACAAGAAAGGGACTTTATTTCAAACCTTATAGTCTGTATTTTATGGGGGGGGGAGTGTTACGGCTGCCGAGGGCAGCCGTCTGTGTGTCACTGCTGCTGTGTTTCCCCCTACATGTGGTACACTGTGAGGCGGGGGATTGGCTGGTCTTCGGCAAGTCTGGCTGATCCCACATCCGACGATCCTGATTTGAGAGGCGCACCAACCCCCCTCCAATCGCCGAGCTGCCTGCAGGACCGCCTTCGTGCCTTCCCCCTCAAATAGGCTGGTCTGCTGCTGGTTCGAGGCAGCTACCTTTTGCCATGTAGTTTGCCCCGACGCTGGTCCTAACTTTGAACTCTGTGTGTGCGTGTATCCTCAGTGGAAACAACCATATCTGTGTTAGTTAGATCTGTGTGTTACTGAGAGTTGGTAACTCACCTGGGCTGATCCCAATAGTTGGTCTACAGACTTGGGCTAGGGGAAGCTTGTTCACTGATCACTCACACCTGCTAGTAAATACTTGTTTTAGAGACACTAGGTTTAGGGGTGCTGCGCTCCCTGTGTTTTGCTTCTGAACAACGGCTAGAGAGGTTTTTGTTTATTATTTTTTCAAGTAGTTTAGTAATCCCTCATGTAGGAGGGATCTCTTTTTGTTATATTTGGTTCTTTGTTTTACGCAGCACCCACTTGCCTATTTTCTGTTTGACCATTTTGTGTGTATCAGACTGTTTAATAAATAATCTTTCCACCCATACCAAATCCATCTGGTTTATGTTTACGTCTCTCCTACCCCTAGAGAGCGGGGACGTAACACAAATACATATAGAACATTGCAAAATTTTATAGGACGGTCAGTACAACTTACCTGGACGTTTTTTCTTTCTTTAAGCCTAGATCTTCCTTTTGGCCCATAGTTAAAAGACTGTCTTTCTTTTGACTTCGAGCTTCTATACTCCATGAACTGTTTGTATGATGGGCATGGTTGTTCTGCTGAAATGGATAGAGTTCCGTTTCAAAATAGAAAGTTAGAAGCATAGAGACTGTAAAAGGTTAGAAGCCGCTCGAAAAATCATTAGCATTACTACCCAATTTTGTCCATATGTCCTCAGATAGCTAGCATTATGCTACACTTACTTTGCTTAGCACTGTCCGGCTGTCGAGAAGTCCCCTGTGTTTCCGTCTGGTTCGCGTCCTTTAAAAACTCCAAACACCGACCACACGTAAAGCAAAACTGCGTTAAGCTGCTCATGTGTTTACCACAAAACGGGCAAAACATCCCTCGGTCGCAGTCCATGTTCGGTCACCAAAAACTTAAATTCCTATATGCTTCATATTCACGCCATATTCTCCACATTGAAAACACGAATTAACCGCGCTCACCAACAACACCTATCACCCGCGTTCATTCCCTTTCTGTGAGGGATCGATCGTTTGTAAATTTGTTTCGGGACGGGTAAAAGTGTTTTGCGTCTTGCTAACTTGTTTTCTAAAATGTAAATTTGTTTTGTCCTTGGTAAAAATGTTTTGCCCTTGGTAAAAGTGTTTCGCCCATGTAATTGTGTTTTATGGTAGGGTAAAAATGTTTTCCAAAATGTAACTTTGTCTCAAGCTTTGTAAAAGTGTTTCAGTCTTTGTAATGTTGCTTTGCACTTCCCGGCCACCGTATAAATCTGATGGAGAAGTAGGCTATAATATTATTTTTCACTACAGGCATAATAAACGGCAGAGGTGTGTGTGTGATGTTGCAGCCTTGCAAAATGAAGCGATGTGGTGCCTTAACACTATTTTTCAGAGAGTTTCTCTCATAAATGTATGACTACAATGTCAGAGAATGTTCAAGTTTGTAACTTGGCAATTCTAGATTTTTTCCCTTTGCCCCGACTCCATTTTTTTTTATTACAATAGATCATCATTTATAGGCTACCTTTACATCTCAATCATATTACACATAAAAGAAGAAGATGTGAGTCCATAAAATACAAAAGAGAGAATTAGCCTGCATTAAGAACATTGTGAAGATAATTACAAATTTACTTAATGCGATGCCAACAAAACTTCCTGGCTTTGCCACAGTATTAGATTTAACTCCTCATATCCTGAGGCCATAAATGTGCATCATTCTGTGGAAAATACGGAGCATGCACCATTGTAAAAAAACTCTGCCTGCACGGCCGAACACACCCCTTTAACGCAAACGCGGACCAACTCCACGAACCCTGAGTAATATATGAGTAGGTTACACTCCCTTCGTACTACAGGCCGCTGTTTTTAGACATTTGTAGCAGACATTTGCACGTTTTCCAGTTAACTTCTGAAAACTTGCCAGACATGTTCTTTGTGAGGTTTCTGCACCAGCTGCTCAGCCTTTTTCATGTGACCTGCTGTGTGCAGGTAAATGTCTCTGCTCCAAGGCCGCTGATGAATTGTTTCCATCTCAGCTTGAAGGCGTCATAGGGTTCTGACACTGTGTTGAGTTAATTGACTGATTATTCCCATGCCGGTGGTAATTAGTACTTCAACATAATGTAATTGATCCAATGTGGGGTTTTCTGAGCAGGATGTGCGTGATTGTCTGACTGCTTTTCAATCCAGTGCTTTTAACCCCCCGCCGGGCCTTTCTGCAGAGGGAAACTGGGCTGATAGTTCCACTGTTTTAATTACACAGCTTTTGAGCTTTGTTTGCATTAAGGGAGGGAGCTTCACCTAGAATGTTTCCGTAAGGCAGAATACTGATCAATCTATCAAGTTATATATAATTCAGTGACAAATCTGCAGAATGGTAGATTGGAAGACAGTGAGACAGGCGTCTATAAAAAAAAGAGTGTCACTCCCAAAAGAAAGGATGTTATCTCAAAATCAAGATGGTACACTTTGATATTATAGTGGGCTTACAGTGGGACACCATGTAATAAAGGATGGTTTAGGTTATAAGTTCTCTGAGAGCAGCTGGTTCGAAAATAATAGGTCTGATTGTGTGATCTGATACTGGTAAGTCTGTCCATTCATTTAACAGTCCTTGCACCCATGTTGCACCAGTATTTAAAACAGCAACATTAAATGAAATTAAGAAAGAAACTTTAGTTTTTTTGTAGTATTTGGTACCATTAGCGTTAGCTAATGTTACTGTTAAAGGCATTGACAGCCCCCCGAAGCCCTTTTCCTAACCCTAACGTCAGGGGTGTGTGGCTAAACCGTGATTGTGTGCATATTGACCGGTTAACACTACAACGGCCTAAGAAGACACTCATATAGGTCAATTTGGAGACATAAACTATTAACCTATTCTGTCATTTCTATATGAGGACGTGTTGCACCTTTTCTATGTGGACTTCTGTGACATGAGATGTAGTCTTTCGACCACTATTTGAGCACCTTTCATGGCATGAATGGGTTTTTTGTTTTGTTGCTTTAAGAAATTTAGAAAGATGTTTGGAACACTTTTCAGTGTGTTAATATTTCCCTATATATATATATATATATATATATATATTATAAAACAGGTAGCTCAAATCAAGCAATCTGAATGGTTCATAGTAGTGATATAATGAGCATATACAACGGGTATGACGTCAAATTCCTTTGCACAGATACGTATAACTCTGCGACAAACAGGGTTCAAGTTAATAATCTGAGCTTTGTGGGGGTCTCATGCCCCATTTGCACCTGGTATTAAAATGTGGTCTGATACAGAGTTGATAGGCTCGCATTTTACCGGCGGAGATAAATAAATAATGAGAGAGAGAGAGATTCAACATTTCCCTCTCTGACACACACACACACACACACACACACACACACACACACACACACACACACACACAGCAGTCCACTACTTGCCACAGATGTCTGCAATATTGTAACAAAGTTTAAGTTCCAATAGCCAAAAGTGTTATTATTTTACGTACTGCTGGCCCCGGGACACGGTAGCAAGCATATTATCATATAGTTCAAGTTACTAAAGTTAATCTACTGACGCTGGACAGTTTTTTTAGTGGCTGCACAACAAACGCCAACATGTAAATAGATATAAATAGTTCTAATAATTCTAGCCTTCGATGTATGTTGCTTAGCAACCGTCACTGGCAGCCTGGTGGAACTACTTTCTGTATTCATAAAGAAATGTCTGTTAATAAAATAAAGTTTAATTGTAGTGCGTCCGTTAGTCTGCTTTCTTATTGCCATACTTGGTAACCGTTTTATAAAAGCAATGGCTCACTTCAGGCCGTGATATACGCTTATTATATTGCAGTTAAGGGGGTTGCCGAACAACGCCCTTTATTTGTGATACAAGCTATACCACAGCCTGTCCTGAGATATTGCTTAAGGCTACTATTATCTGGAATTATAATCTCCATGGCAACATAAACTCCAACACAAACTCTACGGAAGGATCCAAAACAACAATAAAGGTTTATGTGATGCAAGTGCAATAATGCAAGTATGTCTATTGAAAAAACTGTGAGCGTACTGTCTGATAGCGACCAAGCAAGCTTGCTTGCTAAATGACTGAGCTTTGGCCTGTCAATTTGTACTGTGAGCCAATAGAAAACAGTTGTGCATCATTCATCATTCACTATTCTACTGTGCCATCATATTGTCACATCATATTTTGTACAATACTACATATTTTGTACAATACTACATTACATCTGACGGACAGTTTTGTCCAAAGTGACGTTTTCCCCCCACATAGTGGCTCAGAGTATTGCTCAAGGACACGCCAACATGTGGACAGGTTAAGTAAAAGGCAACCTCCTCTACCAGCTAAGCCACAACTACCTGCTGTCCATTGGTACCTAAATCAACCTACCAAAAGAAGTGTTTGTTACTATTTCTTAGCTCTGAGCAGTCCCAAGAAACAATCCCGTGTTATATTTAAATATAATTTCTTGCGAAATTCTTCTCTTCCTCTTTTCTTTCTCTGAACCCACTGTCAATCATTGCATCCACTTGTGTCATGTGTTGACATTAGATAAGTAATGTCCTGTGGAAAGAGAGGAAGAACGAGTGAGCAATGTGCTCTTGCACTGGTTTCAACAGAAATATATATATAAAATGATATATATATATATATATGTGTGTGTGTGTGTATATATATATATAATTATATGTATATATTTTGTGTGTGTCTCAAATGTCATCCGGTTGGTTGGGTCTTAAAGAAATGAGTATTGGCCTGGTTTGTGACCAAGAGGGAGAGGTCTGGCAGCAGGCACTGCTTGGGGTCAAGTGATGGTACCAGTACCAGCAGGGAGATGTCAGTCTCAGGAGCCTATCTCTGGTTGTTGTGAGTGTATTGCTGCATTCAAGCAATGTCGGTAGAATGGGAATAACACAACATGACGCCCCATTATTCTTGCTTGGGAGGGTTCTCTCATTATTCCAAGTTGGCTAGCCGTAGCGCTAACCTTGTATTCACACTCTTTAAATAGCCTGAATTAGCTACTTCTGTTGTGATATAGATACAAAATAGTTTACAATCTCACAGGTAGACAGGCATGCAATTTACTGAGCACATTCATGCTCCCCAGAGGAAGAACTGCACAACCTTTTCTGTACTGGTGTCCTAACCAACTTAACATTATTAGCCCCACTACTGATAGAATAGCAGTTCATAGTGATGATTTAGCTACTATACAATTTGCAACCATCTGACTCTTGTGAATGAAAAAAAGTTATGCAGAAAAACTAGTCCATGCATTTGTTACTTCTAGGCTGGATTACTGCAATTCCTTATTATCAGGCTGCTCGAAAAAGTCCATTAAGACTCTTCAGCTGATCCAGAATGCTGCAGCACGTGTTCTGACAGGAACCAGGAAAAGAGATCACATTTCTCCTGTTTTAGCTTCTCTGCATTGGCTTCCAGTAAAATCCAGAATAGAATTTAAAATCATTCTTCTTACCTACAAAGCTCTTAATGGTCAGGCACCATCTTATCTTAAAGAGCTCATAGTACCTTACTACCCCACCAGAGCACTGCGCTCCCAGAATGCAGGGTTACTTGTGGTTCCTAGAGTCTCCAAAAGTAGACTAGGAGCCAGAGCGTTCAGCTATCAAGCTCCTCTCCTGTGGAACCAGGTTCCAGTTTGGGTTCAGGAGGCAGACACCATCTCCACATTTAAGAGTAGGCTTAAGACTTTCCTCTTTGATAAAGCTTATAGTTAGGGCTGGCTCAGGTGAGTCCTGAACCATCCCTTACTTATGCTGCTATAGGCCTAGACTGGCGGGGGACTTCCCACGATGCACTGAGCTCCTCTCTCCTCTACTTTCTCTCCCTCTGTATGCAACCTCATCCCATTATTGCATGTTACTAACACAACTTCTCCCCTTTCTGGTAGTCTTGTGCTTTCTCGTCCCTCTCCTCTCTCCTCCTGTCAC